TCTTGACTGCAAGTCATTTCTTAATAATCTTTTGTGTGGTGTTCTGCAATTAGGTCAACAACTACAGATAGTCCTTGACTTAGAACCAGAATTGGGAACAGAATTTCCATTGCTAAACAAGGTGGTTCTTAAGCGAGTTCAGCTTAATTTTATAACCCTTTTTATAACCCTTTTTTGGTCCAGAATGTGAGGAATTATAGGCATATGTTGGTAGACCCATTTAACATCTCTGCTACACAAACTGCACAGGTGACTAATGGTTGCCCTTATGAATGCAATTCAACTCTAGCCATCATCAATGAAGATGTTTACTTTTGTTTGTTTGTTTATTAAATATATATAGCTACCCATCGAGTGTCAAGTAATTTCATGACATAGGGTTGACAAAAGCGGTATAATGAAAATATGCCCTTGAAGGATCATTAGCAAGGCATCTTCAAGTTACAGCTAAAGGGAATTGTGGATGGGCTTTTAGTCCAGCATTTGCTCAAAAAGCAAAATAGGATAGCAAAAGACTATTTCCTGATTTACACTCAGGTTCTGTTGTTCAGTATCATTAGCTCCTCTGAATCCTGGGGGTATCATACAATCTTCACAACTAATTGCTTCATTCATTAGACATGAATTTGCTAATCTGGTTTTCAAGACACCTAATTTATTGGCCAGCAGAACTGGGGTCTTCAAATCTATGTGCTGAGCTTTTCTTAGTTCAGGGAGGGAAGGAAGTATCTGGCAGCTGGTGGTATATATAGATAGGCAGTAACTGAGGCATTTTGACAGTTAGTGAAATGGTTTAAACCAAGGGTGTCAAACTTGATTTCATTGAGGGCCACATCAGAGTTGTGCTTGACCTCAGGAAGCCAGGGTGGGCATAGACAGCTTGATGTTACTTATGTAACAAGGACTGGTGCGAGTGCTGTGCCAGGGAAAATGGGCTCCCAATCTCTGTTTTTGGCTGGGATGGCCTCCTGCAACCCTCTGCAAGCAAAAACTCCTGCATGTGGTCCTCCCAAGCTCTGTTTTTGCTGGCAGAGGGTTGCAGGAGGCCATCCCAGCCAAAAACAGAGATTGGGAGCCCATTTTCCCTAGCAGAGGTACTGCGTGCCACTCCTTCGCTGTTTTCAGGGCGGCTCTGCAGACCAGATCTAAGCACCCCAAGGGCTGGATCTGGCCCACAGGCCTTGAGTTTGACATCCCTGGTTTAAATTAACATCAGCTGAATAGATTTGGCAAAAAAATATATGGTTTGAAAGATTAATGGTGTTTAACTACAAACTAAGTTGCTAGGTATATGTGATGGTATTCTAAAATATTGTGACATAACAGTGGTTAGATGCAGACCACATGGACAGAAAGTGAAATCATTAATGTAAGAATTTTATTATCTGGGGAGGGAGAATACAATCCAGAGCTTGGAAGTCTCACTTCTGTATGTTAGACTTCTTATGTAGTCCCCTAAAGCAGAATATCATTTGGTAGGTTTACGAAGTGGTTACTTAAACTATACCAAGCAGTTATGGTTTGTAAACAGCTTTCTGGGAGAGCAATTTTAATGAAGCAGTTAATTAGTGGTTCATTTGGCAAACCACAATTAAGTAAGACATAGCTTCAAATGATGTTTGAATATATGCAACTTATTCTTTGGAATGATGTTTTGCAAGGCTGCTGGTGTTTACAAGGCTAAGCATAAAAAACCTGGACTCCAAAATCTGGTTACTCACTAGGTGGCAGAAAAGTGATTCAGAAATTGCTAACCTTTTTATTGCTTGCATCTAATGGTCATACAGTTTTTTCGCAGTCCATATGTATGCCAATAAGAGGAGGACATTGTTTGATACCAAAGACATTTTAATAGCAGTTTTTGTAATTAATTAAAGATCTTACATGATTTTTGTAATTATGCAGTATAATGAAATTTGAATTACTTGTCATGGTGCTGCAAAATTTATGTTTTCCATTTTAAAAATTTTGTTTGAGATATTTGGAAGTAGAGCGTATTTTATAATAGGACTAAGACTGCGGTTTTTCATTGTCTTACGAGGCTAGTGAGCACACTGTTATGCTAAAATTGAAGGTCCCATATTCATGTATGTTCCTCTTTTTGTTAATCTGATTTCTTTTGCCCTTTTTTTAAAAAGATGTGGTTTAAATTATTTGCATATCCACTTGACAGGGATGCTATTTCTCTGCTTTGCTGAATTGCTTTGTCACAACTACATGCTGCAAAATTCCAATATATTTCTTATAACTTAAAATGCCTTTGATTTCTAGTTACTAACTTACAATATTATTCAAGAAGTTGTAGTTGGGTTTCCATTTTTTTTAAAGTTAAGAGCAACTAAAAGGAGAGTTCTTACTGATTAAGAGCACGGATCTTCAGATGGTTCTCATCTACTTTTTTTCCAGCTGAGCAAAAGAATGTGAAACAAAAACTTGAACATATTTTTCCAATTGTCATCTTAATCAAGTGCTGCATGCTGCCCCAAATCAATCTCTTGTGAGATGGGTGGCTATACAAATATAATAAATAAATAAAAAATACTGGAGGAGAAATTACATCTGACAATATACTAAGGGCCTAAAAATCTGCTGCCGGTCAATATTTTATTCATTAAATTTATATGCTGAATTGCAAGAGGCAACTTCCAATGAGTAGTTTTAGTAGAGTCTCCTAGTGCTAATCATTCATTGCTTTTCCCTTGTCAACAGAATCAAAATTGATTTTCACTATTATCAGGTTTATAATGCATTTGATTTATTTTTATCCCATTCTACTCTATCTATGCCAATTAGTTTGTAGCATAATTAGTGGTTGGAGGATGAAGGAAGATCCATTCAACTCATCTTTGGTGTAATTTTTGCTATTGCACAACATGAAAACTGTTCCCTTCCCAGGAAATTAGTTTCAGGAAATTATTGTTGCTCCCTGGAAAATTGGAATCCCTCACCCCCACCCCAAGAGCTTATTTTAATAAGCCTATTCATTTGCTTTGCTTTCTTAATTAACACATTTAACTTCACATTGAGATTGTCCTCAGGCAGTGAAGATAGATTCACTCCAAGTATCCAGAGGTTTCCCTTCTGGAAAGGTATGTAAAAGTGGCATTGTCAAATGTAGCATTGCCTTAGAACACCGATTCGTTGTTCTGTTGTCACATTAGGTCAAACTAGTTTCTCATCTGCTTGTGGTTTAAGACTATAAATTAAGAAATAATTTTTAAAATGTTATCGCGCTGGGAGTATTAAGTTTTTAAAAATCACGACAGAGTGCTGCAGTACAGTGGAGTTTTTAAAGATTGTTACAGATATTATTATTCAATGCCCAAGTAGGTAAAGGTGGATGCCCAGGAGAAATTAATAGGATCTCAGAATATCTACGTGAAAGAGGTGGGTTCCTACCGGTTCAGACCAGTTCTGCTGAGAAGGTAGTAACACGGCCAGCTATGCTCCCAACCAATTCTATCGGCAGCACCATAGGTAGTGCCATCTTGTTTTTTGTTTCTGTGCAAGGGTAGCCCCCATCAAGCACAATGTGTGTCCCTGAGCGAACCGGCAGTAGCAGAAGCCGGAACCCATCCCTGCTATGCGATATATATTTGCCTCCTGCATTCATGATTAGCAAAAGTTTCACTAATATGCAGTTTGATTCCATTTGCTCTTTCTTATCCACCAATTTTATCCAGCCATGTATGCTTGGACCATCAGTTTCCTTTCTTTCTGAAGTTTCCCGCCCCACACTCTAAATGTGCAGAGAGCTTGGGATACTGGGAGGGGGGAACTAAGTGTTAACTCTGTGTGTGTGTGTGTGCGCGCGCGCGTGCGTGCACGTGTATGCACGAGTGTGTGTGTATGTGCGCCTGTGCCTGTGTGCGCTTTGACTAACACTCAGAATTGCCAAAGGCAAGAATATTGGCCCATTCACAGCATAGTGTAGGGTGGGGTGGGAGTTGCCAGGATGAAGGACCAAGCATCCACACTCCCCACACATGTACCAAACTACAGCTGTTACCTGGGCTTCAAGATTCCCCAAATAGGTCTTCATGGGTTGAGGGAACTATGGGCCCCTGGGGAGCTGTAAAATTGTGGGAGGCCACAAACATACCAACTAGACATCCTAAGGATTCTTTTCCAAAAGCAACCTGGACTTTATTTTTCCTTGAAGACCTTTCCCTTCTCATTCGTGAAATTTCTTCAGTTTTGACTGAAGGATGAGAAGGGAAAGGTCTTCAAGGAAAAATAAAGTCCACCTGTCTTTTGAAAAAGCATCTTCGGAACAACCATGACCTGGATGACAGAGAATCTCCACAGACATACCAATTAGAATAAATAGTAGCCATGTATAAAGGGAGTATAGGGAAATGAATAGTAAATATATAATTTGCAGATAATAATTCAATATTTTTTCTAATTCTTCTGATTGTGGACAAAAGAGGATTTATATCTTACTGTTTTACTCTATGATCTTTAGACTGAAATCCAGAAAGGGTATCCAGTATTTTTAAGAAACTGCAGAAGCTTTTTAGATAAACTTAATCTATCAGTTCATATTGGTCTGATTTCTGCCATTCTTTTCTAACATGTTTCTCCTGTTAGAAGTCATGTAATTTACACAATACTGTAAGGTCTTATTAAACTGAGATAGTCTAATTTACCAATGCAGGACCTTTATACTTAAATGGTGCTTTAAGTCTTCAGAGTAATCCTAACTTGCTCACAGAGTTATAGGGGAACATGAAGGAGGACTATAAAAATAGTAATAGTGACCAAATATGCATTGTGTGACAAAAGCATGGCTCCTCTGGAGTTTGAAAATAAAACTGTCTTTCCTTCCTTCCTTCCTTCCTTCCTTCCTTCCTTCCTTCCTTCCTTCCTTCCTTCCTTCCTTAGGTTTATCCAAGGCAGGCTGGGCAACTGCAGCTTGCAACCCTCCAGGTGGGGGGGGGGGCTTCTATTGACTCCACCAGCCTTCTTCCTGCCCCTCTGATCTTCAGCCCCATTCCATGGGGGTGGATGGCATGTATGAGAAGAGCAGAATGCTGAATATACAAAACAGCACATGGAGTAGTCGTCAGGAGTGGTACCAAGACAGTTTGGTGACAGGACAACTCAACCCTGGTATGAAATCCTCCTGTATATATGTTTATATGTGCGAAGGCAAACATAATCAGGATATGTTTTGTCTTTTCCCTTGAGATTTTTATAAGTTAGGTAGTTCAATGTGTCTAGCTCTGAGATTGGGAAAGCAGGGAGGAAGCAAAGCAGAAGGGTTTTTTTTTTCTATTGCCCCAACCTGTTTTTTCTGGGTTATGTCTTCTTTTAGCTTCTAAATAGACAATTCTGTGCTTCATTAAAGATAGGAGATATTAAATATAGCCTATCCCGCCAGGAAGTCTTCTGGTCTTCTAGAATTTTCTGAAAATTTCTTCATTAATCATACTCTACAGCAAAGATCAAGAGTGGGCATGATCACCTCACAGCCTTCTACAACTAAATCAAGTTACTTTTTCAACCCCAGCACCACTACTTGGTATTCATCAGGACACAAAAATACCTTGGTACAGACTATTGCTAACTCACGACTCAAGCCAGCAGGAGTCTATTTTGAGTCACAATTTCAATTGCCCACAATGTCCTAATGGAAAGTCAATTAAAGGCATTGTAGAAATGATTTTTTTTCTCTCCCCCCCCCGCTTTTTAAATGATCCTGTAATCCCTTGAATCGGATTGGAGCTGAGTGTTTACTGGCCAGATGCCCTTCCTGTCACCAGTGCAGAGTTTGCAGCAGATATTATCTCTGTGCCCAAAGAGAGAAATATCTCCACTACCTAGGATCTAACTCACAGCCTCCTGATTGTGAGATGTGAGCACCACCTCTGGGCCACCACACAACTCCTATTGTAGAAATGTAAATGGTAGCTTGCATTGCCGTCTGATGCTCTGATGCTGCTGCCAACTTCCTCTTGATCAAGTAAGCTTCTAAAGAAAATTTGTCCAGACCACCAAATCATCTTAAATATCAGTGCTGGAAATTCCCTTGGTTTTCTCCTCCCACCTGCCAAAAAATAATAATAATCTGGGATTCCCAGAACCTTCTCTTTGCCAGGTAAATATTTTTTTTCCACTCAGCATCACAGACACATCTGTCAATTGACTGTTTCATCAACAAAGGAAAGAACTTGTGAGAAAACTTGGTTCACATTTTGGGCAAACTCTCTAAAAGGAGTGTTTGATGGAGCAAATGAAATAAGAAGTACTTTGAATTCCCAAGCATGTGATTTGCAGAGTCTGTCCTTGGATGCCTTGGAGGCTCTGAAAATGGGGCTGGAGATGGCTGTAGTGGTATTAGGACATATGTGGCTTCTCACTGTTCTAAACGAAGCTTACTGGGAGGGGGGCAGGGGTGTGTTTCTCGCCCCGTTCCAACCGGTTCGGTTGGAACGGGGTCGGTGGCGTCCTCGTGCATGCGCGGGGTGCACGCATGCGTACTAGCGTCTGTGCAACGCTCCAGCTGCTCCTGGAGGATCGCGCAGGCGCTGTATGCATCCTGCGCATGCGTGGAAGCGCAGAACTCATCAAAACCGGGTAAGGACCGCGGGCGGGCGGGCGCGCACTTCGCCGTTCCCGGAAGTTACTTACTTCCGGGTTCGGCGACCAACCGGTTCGCAGGGACTGCCGCGAACCAGTTGAAACCCACCCCTGGAGGGGGGGTACTTTATGCCCTGCTTGACTCACATGTGAAATAACCAATGAGATTGGCCAGATATTTGAAGTAGCATAGCTTTTGTACCTGCCAAAATTGAAGATCTTCATGTCTTGGCATCATTTCCTCTGTGCTCTTGAGCATACAACCACACCACAATATTTAGAGGTTATCACAAATTAAAAGCAAATATTAATGCTAAAATGGAACTTAAAAGGTGATGTGTCATTGAATTCTCGTTTCTGAAGGCGTTCAGGAAGGATAAAAATGGAGAATGGATGTTTTCAGGGCTGGCTTATGGATTTCCTGGAGCACCCATGAATTAGGACTGATTTTATTTTCCTATATTGCAAACCTTAAATAATTACTTCAAATTACTTTCAATTAGAATAATGTAGGCTAATTATCTAATGGATGAGGTAACCTAATATGTATCTCACCTATCTGCCCATTTATTATTTCGTTCTTAAGAAATCCTCAGAGCTTGCTTTGCTTTTCCCTCTTGAGCATTTATTTCCAGATAACTTTAGACTTTAGATGGAACACTAGATTTTCTCATCCTCTTTCAACATTTTTTTTTTGTGAGCCTTGGTTACTGGCTTTAAAACCAAAGTTAATGGCATTAGCACATACCGTAAGATAAGAAGGTAGTGGGATCCTTCTACATAAGATAATATGCCTATTAGAACTGAGCCTTGTGCTCCCTTGCAATATATAGACAAGATTATCCATGGGAGGAGTCAGAATCTTCAAGATGGCAATCATGATCATGCCACTGAGGTTCTGTCCCTTTTTTCACATGTAAAATGGGTGGGGCTTTCATCATAAGAGCCCAGGTGGCGCAGTAGTCAGAGTGCAGTACTGCAGGCTACTTCTGTTGAATGCAGCCTGCCTGCAATTTAGCAGTTCGAATCTCACCAGGCTCAAGGTTGACTCAGCCTCCCATCCTTCCAAGGTTGATAAAATGAGGACCCAGATTGTTGGGGGGGAACAATGCTGACTCTGTAAACTGCTTAGAGAGGGAAGTAAAGCACTGTAAAGCGGCATATAAGTGCTCTTGCTATCATGTGGTTATGGTGTCTTGACATTTTTAATCCATTCCCTCTTATAGTCATTCCAGCAGAGACAGTTCTTTTCATTCCACTTATTCATAGTCTCCAGAGAGATTCAAAAAGACATTTTTGTGTTCTGAAAAAAGTCTTACCTATCTTTATGAAATATAAAATAAATATTTTATATGTGCTCAATAAATATTTACTTATTTATTGAGCACACTTATACAGCCATCCAACCCTCCCATGGTGACTCTGGGTAGCTTACAACAATAAAATTCTGCAATATAAAAACCCATAATCACACACACACCCCCAATAATAATATCTTGTGTAATCTGTAGGGAAAGTGGTAGGCAGAATGTGGGATTGCTTTAAGGTAAGCATGGACCTTGGCGTTAGACTCTTCTTGCTGATATTCCAAAATCTTTCCACTTCAATAAGTTGTTCCTGTTGTTTATGACCCCATGCTGAGACAGTTCATACATGGTACTGCCACCCCACCTCAAACCACAATAACCCTTGTTGCTTACTGCTAACAGGCGGCTGAGTCACATGGCATTGCTTTTCCTCAACTAGCGACATTCAACAGCTGAACTGAATATCTAATAAAATTAATAAAAAGCTGTAGTGCTGTACTACATTGGGCTTTCTGCCCATTCACCAGGGACTTTCCCCACAGCTGAGCTGACATCTTCTCTATCCTCCATGACACAGCAAAAATAATAATAATAAAAAATTAAATCCAGCACGAACTTTGGTGTCCCACTGCCAACCCTTATCCTGCTTCTCTCACCTCCAGACATTACCAGTTACCTAATATCCCTCCAAAATAGTTGATGACAAAAAGCCTAACATACCATGAGTGTCCCTGTGTCCCAAAAAGCTAGACTAGTCAATTACCTTAAAAACATGCCTGGTGATTGCCTGTATTGTGTGATCTGGCCTGGAGGCCCATGGACAGTCCAGCCCACCTGGAACCTGGGGTAGATGTCCTTATGGATGGGGGTCTAATTCCAGATGTTTTGTCCAACCTGGAGCATTTGGACAGCCTGCAACAAAAGTTCTAGAACCAGCTTGCGGATCCAGAGAATCATTACTCAGGACACTTGGAAACTGACAAGTTTGGGAAGGCTGTGCTAGATGCCATATATGTGCACATCCTCTTCTAATGTTCTTGATCCCATTTATGTGACCCACTTCCACAGAGAGACTGTTGTGGTTACCAAAGTGTAAAAGCAGGAGGTCCTCTTTCTGCCCAACTTCTCCATTTGTGGTGATTTCAGACACAGTTCAAGACCTTTTCTCTCCCCCACCCCCAACCATTTCCCTTCTCTCCTCCATCTCACCACCCTAGCCCTCCTGCCCCATTTCCCCTTTGGGTGTATGCAAGCGTGTTTCCTCCCTTTGCATTTTGCAAAGATATCTCAGCAAAAAATAGAACTGAGGGGGATATGGGAGAATGAGGGGGGGCGGGGGGCGGAAGAGAGGCAGACTGGTTGAAGTGACATGGGCGGTAAGGACAGACCCTGACAGGCCTACATCTGGGCCAGGGCCGAGCAGAAATGTTCTTCACCAACGAGGCATTTTGGATATCTTTGCTGCAGGGACTGCAAACAGTTAGAAGAATCAGGGGGGAGGGAGAAGGCTATGTCATCTCACATTAAGGCTCTCCAGCTGATGCAGTGGCTTTGCGTTGCCTGCGGAGATCTGAGTGCTTGGTTTCGCAGAAGCACGGAAAGGTCATTGCTCAGGATAGAGCTCCCCTTGGATGAAAGGTTAAGCTCTTGTGGGTTCCCCAAACCCTCAGTTGCCACCCATCCATTATCCCTTTCTCGTGGGCTCCAAGGCCTCAAGCAGCTGTCACCAGTTTCCCTGCAGCCCCTATTTTGAGCCAACCAGGAAGAAAACTTCCTGTCTCAGAGAGATCAAGATTCCCACAATACACACTATATACACAAAACCTACATGCTATCCTGGGAATGGAGTCTTCTCCCATTTGCCCCCCACCCCCACCACCACATTTCCGCCAGAGAGACTGAGATTGTTTTTATGTCTTCCCATTTGTTGTCCCTTGAGTCAGTATGCATGCATTATATTTTATGTGCCATGTGTCAGGGATGGTTCTGCCCCACCTTAATGAATTAAAACTAGATAGAAGAATCTATCTCTACTGTGAGTGTGCAGTCATGGATTAACAATTTCTTAACACACATTATTCAGTGACTCTTTATAAACTATTAATACACAGTTGTCTCACCACAGAGTCAGACAGGAAGAAGAAAAGGCTCCGGGTGGGGGAAGCTAAGAAGCCAGAGGAGAATGTCTATTTTCCATCAGGGGACGAAGCAAGATACCACATGACACCACTTGAAGTTCAGAGACACCCCCCCCCCATGCCAGATTTGTGGGCACAATTTATTGGAAGAGGAAGTTCCAGAATTCTGATTATTAAAATTGGCTAGAAAGAAGGCTATAGCTATAGCACAGAATTGCAGTGCATATATTTCAAAGTCAGGGATTATCTTTACAGGCAATGTAAGGTGGTAATATTTTGGCTTGCTTTTCTTTCTTTTTTTTTGGTTGCCTTTCTGTATAAAAGAGATTAACTCTTTGAGGAAGGAAGGACGGCCTATGTATTCTGATGGTTTGGAAATCGGCTGGTAGGCTCCCTATCTGTGTGAGAACCAGCTGAAGGACATCTTTGTACAGAATGACATCATCACCCAGCAAAATTCACCCTCATTTGAATGTGCATGTAACATTGTATGTACATGCCAAAGGATTAAGGCTTGTGCTGCAGGGCTATTTTTGTCAGCTGGTTAGCTTCTTTATATGTGCCCCAAATAAAAATGCCTATCTTCTTTCTGTGAGCCTGATCTTTCTAATTACGGGCAAAGGACAGGAACAAGTGGTTCTCTAAAGCAGCACTGAGTGGCTTTCTCAAGCCACTATATTAATTTCCCATAATGCTGTGAAACTCCCTCGCACTCAAAGAAGCTAACGGCTGTAACTATTAATTCTGACTGCAAAGCAGAACATTGTGGGAAATTGAAATGGAGGCCTGATACTTGTGGCTTAGACCATGGAAAGAATTAGTGGAAAGCTGAACAATCTTGAATGTATATGTTTCTCTTAAGAATTCCAACAGACCATTCTTTTACATTTCAAATACACCAAGCAGGATGTCTATGCTCCCCTCCCCCCAGGGCTTTGCATTCTGCACGGTCTGTGGCTGGAGCAAAATTATGCCGATTTCTTTCATGTCCGAGTTGATGAGTTAGATAAGTTGAGCAGGATATTTCTCAACTGAACCCTAATCTTACAGAGGAAAGGGGATCATGGGAAAGAGAAGTAGTGGCTGGAAACGGTTTGAAGGAATTCCTAATCTTGCAGCACCTTGTGGCTACATTTTCCTTTTTTACCTTTTACAAACAAGACACTTTCTCACAGATATTGTACAAACTGGTCAGTGCATGAAGCTTTGCCCAACAGTGGTCAACGGTGCCCCAACTCAACATTGGAACAAGTTGCTATGCAGGAGAGAGGAGTAACCTGGAATAGGAGAAAATGGCAAAGAACGTAAACTATCTTCTCATCAGCACAATTTTTCAAGATAGTTAGTGTGGCACTGAGTCCATTTATTTCCATCTCAGCTGCAGTTCAGCAGCAAACACACTGAATCCAAATCTCCAGCAAAACTCTGGAGTCCTTGGGCAAGCAGTCTAAGCAGTCTCTACACATTGTCTATAATTGATGCCAAACAATACAGACCCACAATTGGGGTAGGGGCTAGTTTGCTGCTGATTTTCTTCCTCTCTACTTGGTCAGCAGAAGGAAGCACTGCTTGGCTCCTGTGGCATTTTATAGATAGTCCTCGACTTACGATTGGTCACTTAGTGACAGTTTAAAGTTCCGATGCCAACTCCATGATCATATTTTGGGCACTCAGCAACCAATCCACATTTATGGCTGTTTGCGGTATCTAGCAGTCATGTGATCGTGATTGTCAATCTTTTTTTTGCCAAAAATCAGCATTTACTCCAGTTTGCAGCAAAAGTGCTCCACGGTGAACAATGGATTCACTTAACAACTATGGTGATCACTTAATAATTGCTGCCAAAAAAGATCATAAAATTACATCCAGTTACATGATGACCTACTTTATGACTATTGTGATTTACAATCATTATGGTCGTAAGTAGAGAACTACCTGTAAAGACTAGTGCTGGTGATGACCACCATGCATCAGTTTCTGAAGGGCTTGGAGAAACAGATTGGTACAGTGGTTAGGCAAAAAAGTCAACTACTGTAAGTTATTTTATACCTCTCATTTTCAGCCCAATCTGTCTCATTGTGGAGCAAATAAAAAGAGAGCCATTACTACTTCACCTTGAATCGTAGAAATAAAGGCTACCTATAAAGCCAATAAATAAGAAAAAAAAATAGCAGTGTTGAAATGATGTCTCTGCTTCCATCTCTGCTCCTAAACCATTTGAGAATTTATGGTCATACAGGAGGACTACAACTCCCATATCCCAGAGTCAAGGTATCTGTCACTGTCAAGCATTTCTGAAGAGCACCAGTTTGGGGAAGAGTGTTATTAACTCTGTGCTGCTCATTGTTCTCCATCCTACTCCTCAGACAGCTGTCAGCAGCTAGAAAGTAGCTTGGATTCTGAGCACCCCCAAGGTGGTGGCAGCCAAGACCTAGATGACTCTCAAATCCATTTGCAGCTGAAGCGCAAATTGCAGAGAAACAGAACTTCTTTCACACAAGAGCAAATAGAGGCATTGGAGAAAGGTAAGGCAAAGAGGAAGCAGGGAATGCTCTCTGGTGAGATTGGAATCCATTGGGTGGCATTTCTTTTCTGGGGTAATTTGAACAGGAAGTTGTGAGATAAGTATGGGGAATGTCAATGTTTTTATAACCAGCATGTAGATGCACCCTGTTACATTAATCTAAGCCAGTGTTTCTCAACCTTGGCTACTTGAAGATATCTGGAATTCAACTCCCAGAATTCCCCAGCCAGCGAATGCTGGCTGGGGAATTCTGGGAGTTGAAGTCCAGACATCTTCAAGTTGCCAAGGTTGAGAAACACTGATCTAAGCAATTGCAGTAAGGGGCTGATTCAAACAAACACATAAAACTTTGCCAGCATGTGGCCTTTAATAAAAGGTGTGTGAAGAGGTCAGTAGTTAGTTAGTCTTTCCAGGAACTTCTTGTTACCCTAATCACAGATGTAGACAACCCATCAGTGGATTGCACTGTGGTTAGAGTGCAGTACTGCAAGCTACTTCAGCTGATCGCTAGTTGCAGTTCAGCAGTTCAAATCTCACCAGCTCATGGTTGACTCAGCCTTCCATCCTTCCAAGGTGAGTAAAATGAGGACCCAGATTGTTGGGGGCAATACACTGACTCTGTAAAAAAAAATGCTTAGAGAGGGCTGTAAAAGTACTATGAAGCGTTATATAAGTCTAAGTGATATGGCTATTGCAATCAGGCCCAGACACACAGCTCAAGAAAGCCAGCTGTATAGTTGCTCTATTTTTGAAGCCACCTGACAGATGAAGACTGAAAATGATGTTTCTCAATCTTGAGAAGTTTAAGATGTTTGGACATGAACTCCCAGAATTCTCCAGTCAGATGGGAATGCTCCCCATGCTGACTGAGGAATTCTGGGAAACAGTTTAAAATTCCCAAGGTTGAGAAACATTGCCTGAATGTTTCTGAAACAGGAAATATCCTTTTATTGCATCAGATTATCACTCCATCTAAACTAGAATTATGGCTGGCAGTGACCCTCCAAGGCTCACATAGGAATTTTTCCAGTTCTAACCTAGAAATATCAGGAAATAAATTTGAGGAGTTTGCATGCTGACTACACAGAACCAAAGGCATTAGAAATCCTTTCAATGGGATGGCAATCATGCTATACAGAAATCATAAATAGCATTGCAACCTATGTACGAAACTGCATTTTTGCCACAGATTATAAACCATGCCATTTTTAAATCATACACTGTAATAGAAGAAGTGGAGTACACTGGATTATGCATAATGATTTCACTGACTCCCTCTAACTTCTTTTTTAGAATATTGCTGTGTAATAACTGTGAGAGGTATAATTTATTTTTCCCTAACCCAGACATTACGATGGTCCAGAGTTGGAAATACCATTTCAAAGTCAGAATGGGGACGGGAAAGACATACATGGCCATCTGGTGGCCATATCTGGTATTGCACAAACGAAGCTTTTTTTTTTTTTTGTCATCAACATTGTAAGACCTGCCATTTTTAAATCATGCATTATACAAAAATGCATATTTGTACCAAAAACATAGAATATATTATATCCATGTTTCACCAACTGGGCCACTTGAAAATGTGTAAGCTTCAACTCATAGAATTTCTTCAAAGTGGCCCAGTTGAAGTCTACACATCTTAAGCTGCCCCAATTTGAAAAAACAATGCAATGATTTTTAAGACTGTAATGTTTCCAAAAGATATGGCTCGTAATACTAAAAAGAAAGAAGATGACTGATGTGAACAGTAAATGGATAGCACTGGACATAACATTTGCAGTACTGCTGAATTCCTATGGAAGTCTGACAGTGGAGTAACCAGATAATAACCTAATATTGAAGGAAGATTATCTTTTTTAAATACATATTCTTCTGCTGATCACTAAAGGAGAACTAGAGGGAGAGAAGGATCACATATGAAAGAACTGTTCTTTTGAATCTAAACTTCAATGTAACAAGGGGAACTATCAATGTACTTTTAATGTGATATGTACAGCATGAGTGCTTGAAAATATATTTTGTTAAGAACTGTAAGTGTTGGTAAAGAGGAGGCTGTGTCTTTAATATCTTTACACGTTGCAACTTAAATCTTCAGAATTTGAGCGTACTCACTACCCTGATGTCTTTGCCCGTGAACGCTTGGCAGCAAAAATCGATCTTCCCGAAGCCCGGATCCAGGTAAATGAGATGACCTTGTAGCCATTTAACAAGAAACAAAAAGGCAGGGACTTTCTACCATTATACTCCTCGTTCTCTTGGGCAACAGAGTTCCTCTTTTTAATTTTTCCAGGTCTGGTTCTCCAACCGTCGAGCTAAATGGCGTCGGGAAGAGAAACTGCGGAACCAGAGGCGCCAAGCAGGTGGCACTGGGGGGCACCTGATCATAAACAGCACTTTTGGCACTGTAGGCAGTGCTGTCTACCAGTCACTCCCTCAGCCTATAGGGTCAGGTGAGGGCCCTGTCCCCAAACAAACTCATTCATTCCCCACCTACTCCTGGGACCTTCCCATGCAGCATAATTCATCAAGGTACCATGTACTCTTTGGAAACGTGGGTGCCACGAGACATTTTTAGATTCTGGATTTAAAAGATCACCTGTTTGGACAGGAATGCCTGCTATTCATTCGTTGCAGAAATTGATGAGACAGCTGAGATGTTTTTAAGAACACACTTCCTCATTCTACTGAATGCTTCTTGGACTATTTTTTAATTTGCTTCCTAGAGAGTACCGCTCTTCTCTATCACAAACCTCTTTTTCCTCTTTTTTTTTTCAGGTGCTATGCTGGGCCATACAGAAAGTGTCCTCAGCAACAACTATGGTTCCCTTCCACCTTTAGCTCCCTTCTCTATGGCCAACAACAGCCTCCCTATTCAGGTGAGCTTAAAAGGAACAACAGAAGTCTTGAATGGTGCCAAGCAGTGTGTGTGTGTGTGTGTGTGTGTGTGTGTGTGTGTGTGTGTGTGTGTGTGTGTGTGTG